TCTATACATTATTGTGGAAAATTTTCTAAATTTAAAAATATTTTGAGTGAGCTTCGCCTAAAAAATACATAGGTAGATATATCATGATGACAGTTGGTGAAGACTTGGGAGGGAAAAAAATCATTTTCTTTCAAGCACATGATTTCCCAAGTCAAGGTAGTCATTTACTCTTCCCAGTGAGATAAAGAGAGGGTTGGAGAACACTTATGTTCTGGTAACCTCAGAAACCAAAGAAACAAGAACCCAAAGAAAGACAAATGGAGAAAATGTCTTATTTAAATTTAAATTTGTAGAGTCTCTGTTTCTTATTATGCTCACTAAGAAGAAGCAAGAAGTTTTCTGAGATGGTTACAGGTTATTTCATAAAAAGTTATCGTTGGATGTTAAACAAACAAAAAAAAGAAGATAGTAGGAAGGGGAAAATGAAGGGGGGGGAATCGGAGGGGGAGGTGAATCATGAGAGACTATGGACTCTGAGAAACAACCTGAGGGTTCTAGAGGGGAGGGGGGTGGGGGGATGGGTTAGCCCGGTGATGGGTATTAAAGAGGGCACGTATTGCATGGAGCACTGGGTGTTATACGCAAACAATGAATCATGGAACACCACATCAAAAACTAATGATGTAATGTATGGCGATTAACATAACATAATAAAATAAAATTTAAAAGAAGTTATTGTTGGAAAGGCATTTCATGTTATATCCAAATTCTCAAACTGTAAACTTCAAAAATGAGCCATGCAAAATATTCTAATATTCATTGAATCTAGGGAATATGCTTGTTGTAGGAAATGGCATTTGCTTACTTCAATGAGCAGTGGTAATGAAACCCATTACTCTATATACAAGACCTCGTTTCTGGTTTTGTTCCAAATTGATTATGCGAGTAAAATAAAAATGGTGGCTCCAGTGGATTTAAAGCCAAATACAATGCAAAGCCTGTTTTCATCCACAAGGAGGACGCCCAAATGTAAACTTCCAGCCTGAGAACTTTCCTCTCCTGTTCCCTGGGTCCTGGTTGGCTGGCCCTCACCCTTCTGGTCTCAGGTGAAGCTTGACATTTTCAAAGAAACCTTCTTTGACCACATACTCTATGTTATGCTCCTTTGTTTTACACTTGCTTAGAACAACAGTCCTTCTGTGCAATTGTCATCGTTTGTAATTATACACTTTATAGTTTGCTTTAAAAAAAACCCTCTCTGCCCTGTTAGACTTAATCCACCAAAGGAGTCCCTCACATATGGCAGAGAACCAGGTCCTAACACAGTAGCTAGCATACAGTGGGTGCTCAATAAATATTCGTGGCATGGGTGATCCATTATTTTGGCATTCTGGGGTATACATGTGAGATATGGGCTAAAGCTAGGAATTTGAAAATCATCTGCATTTAAACAGTGTTTAGACACAAGAGAATGTATGAGATCACCCATCCCAAGGAGAAAGTGGAGAGAGAGGGCAAAAAGTCTGGAACAGAGCCTTGGGGATCCCGAATTTATTTGGTATTAATTGGGAAATGCTGGCAAAGGATACAAAAAAAAAAAAAAAAAGGAATGGATAGAGAGGTAAAAAGAAATTCGGGGAGAATGTGCTGCCAAAACAGCCAAGAGACGAGGCTCTCAAAAGAAGGTAGGAGTGGCCGGTTGTGGAAATACAGCTAAGAACTAAGACCAGGTGAGAAATATTACCATTGAGTTTGACAGATTCAAGGTCATTTGTGACATTGATAAGAGCAACTTGGGGGGAGGAATAGCAATGTCAGGTGAAAATGGGTTGAGACAGGAGGTGAGCAACTGGAAGTAGCTGGTGTAGAATACTTTTCCAAGAAGCTTTGCTCAGAAGGAGAGCAGGAAAACGTAGCTGTGGAGGAGTGAGGAGGCATCAACTGAGTTTTTTGTTGTTATTGTTGTTTTCATTTATTTATTTTACTCTAATGTCTTTATTGTTTTAAAACAATTGTCTACATGAATTACAGAATGGTCAGCAAATCTGTTCAAAGAAATAACCCATTTCTCCATGTGAGGAGCAAGGAGCATTTTTAGAAAATCACTTGAACATGTATCTTCTTAAAAATAAAGTATAATGAACATACAGTGCTATATTAGCATCAGGTGTATAATATAATGATTCAACAATTCTGTACTTTACTCAGTGCTCATCATGATATGATACGTGTACTCTTTTTTTTTTTTTTTAAGATTTTATTTGTTTATTTGACAGAGACACAGAGAGAGAGGCAACACAAGCAGGGGGAGTGGGAGAGGGAGAAGCAGGCTTCCCGCTGAGCAGGGAGCCAGACGCAGGGCTCGATCCCAGAACCCTGGGACCATGACCTGAGCCGAAGGCAGACGCTTAATGACTGAGCCACCCAGGTGCCCCGTGATATGTATACTCTTAATCCCCTTCACCTATTTCACTCATCCCTTTACCCTGTTTTGTATGTTTTCTTTTTAAATTTTAATTCCAGTATAGTTAATATACAGTGTTATATTAGTTTCAGGTGTACAATGTAATGATTCAACAATTCTATACGTTATTCAGTGCTCATTGTGTTAAGTATTTTTTTTAAGTGGAAGTTACTAGAATATGTATGATAATGCGAAATATTCAGTAGAAAGAGAGACTACTTATTTAATAATGAGAAATGATAATAAGAAGACAACATTCCTTAGAAGTTTACTGATAAGGAATCCCTGCTGGTCTTACAAGGTCATTCTTCTTTGATCTACCTCTATGCATAAGAGCTCATTAAAAAGTGATTAGCATGACTTCGTAATGCAGCCCTGGAGGGGTCATGTCAAATCACTCTGGAAAGATCATCAAGAAATGCTACTTTCTCAACTTCCCTGGGGCTGGGAATTAGCTCTAGGGTTTCCCAATCTTAGGTGCTAATGGCATTTTGGTTCAGATACTCTCGTGTTGTGGGGCTGTCCTTTGCATTGTAGGATGTTTAGCAGAACCCCTGCCCTCTACCCAGTAGATAGTAGTAGCTTCCAGTTGTGACAACCCAAAACCAGACATTGCTAAATGTCCCAATTGACAACCAGTGGGTTATTCAAGCCTAAGGAAGTCTAATTTTTTAAAAAATCAGCTAATCTTAACAGCTCTGTAAATGTTGATAGTTTTCATTGTGTGTTACGCTGTCATGGAAAATTATTCATAAGTCTGGTATGAAAGCATACTGTGCTATACATACATGTTCATATTTTTTAATTCCTAAAGAAGTGATGTAATATAATATTTAACATTTTAAGTAGAAAGAACCATAAAAGAAAACCAAACCAAATATATGTATGGATGGACCTTAGGGATGATGGCCGGAAAAGGAAAGTCACTTAGCATTTATTTGGTGCCCTTTACATTTTACATTGTGTAAACCTGATTTTTTTTAAAGATTTTATTTATTTGACAGAGGAGAAAGTGCACAAGCAGGGGGAGAGGCAGAGGGAGAGCAGGGAGCCCCACGAGGACTTAATCCCAGAACCCTGAGATCATGACCTGAGCGGAAATCAAGAATCCAACGCTTAACCGACTGAGCCACCTAGGCGCCCCACCTGATTTTTTTTTTTAAGATTTTATTTTTGGGGCGCCTGGGTGGTTCAGTGGGTTAAGCGCTGGATTCTTGATTTCCGCTCAGGTCATGATCTCAGCATTCTGAGATCAAGCCCTGCCTTGGGCTCAGTGCTGGGCTTGGAGCCTGCCTAAGATTTTCTCTCTCCCTCTGTCCCTCCCTCCTCCCTCTGGCCCTCTCTCTTAAAAAAACAAATTTTATTTTTTAAGTAATCTTTACACCCAATGTGGGGTTCAGAGTTACAACCCCAAGATCAAGAGTCACATTCTCCACCAACTGAACCAACCAGGCGCCCCTATAAACTTGATTTTCTTAATTGTGTGTGTGTTTTAACATGCTCACTGTATAAAAATGAAACAAAACAAAAAAGCCAGATACATTAAGAAAATTAAAATCTTCCTAATACCATCCCTGAACATTTTGGTGCATATGCTTTAGGACTTTCTGTGCAATCGTTCATTTATTCTTTAACTTATTTATTACACATCTCCCTCAGAGAGGATAAAAAACGGGGCAGTGAAAGGAGGTTTTGTTTTTTTAATGGGAGAGATCTGGGCATGTTTTAAAGCCAGTGGAAAGAAAGACCTAGTTTAGAAAGAGGAAAATGGGATGATCCTCAGAGCGAGGTTTGCGAGAAGGAATGGATTTTAAGCACGGAAAGGAGGGATCATTTTTTGATTAGGAAAAAAAAAAAGGCGTTTTGAGAGGACAGAAAGAAGATCCACATAGACACAGGAACACATGTATCTTATCGTAGCTACATGTAAGTATATTGCTGTATCTACCCGTAGGTATGTATGAATCTCCCATGGACACTTAGGTATTTTGACTTTACTACACATATGTATCGTATTGCATCTGCATGTTTCCTACCGTGGGAGCGAGTTTGGAACCCGCTTTCCCACTTACTCTCTTGTAACCACTTTCCCCCACGCCGTTACTCTTCCCAACATTTTTGCAGTACCCTGGCGCACGCCAGTAGTTCAGTTTTTAAAGCCACCTCGGTGTTGGGACATTTTGGCCGTTTACAATTTTTCACCATCATCGTTGCCGTAACTTAACAGGTTGACGGTGAAGTATTTGTAGGTATCCAGGATTGTTTTCCGAACAGAAATTCGTGCCAGTGGAATTGCTGAGTCAAACAGCCTGCAAAATTCGGTGGATAAAAATCGCTTTTAAGCCTCGTAGTCCGCCTCAGGTATGCATTCTTTACCTGAGGAGGAAGCAGAGGAGCAGAGAGGTTAAATAACCGGCCCAAGGTCAAAAATAATTACAAGTGGCGGATTTCAAAAGCCGCGCGAGCTCATCTTGCTGCGGCAGGGGTAGAATTTGCGGTTTAGCCATTTTTTTTTTTTTTTTTTTTTTTGGTGTGTTTCGGTGGGGGAGGGGCCGGGCGGCAGGGAAGGAAACTTGTGTCGCAGCAAAGAAGGAGGAGGGGCGGGACTCCAGTCGGATCGCAGCCGGACGAGGCGACAGAGGCTGGGCCCGGGCTCGGCGGGCCCCCCAGCCGCTGTGCGGGGCGCCTCGGAGGCGGTGACCCGCCACTCAGGGAGGTCTGGCCGCTAGCCTCGAGCCGCACCCGGGCGGTTGCCAAGGGCCTGCCCCGGCTGCTGGGTTAGTTGCTACGGCCTCCATCTTGAGGCCGGTGGCCGCGGCGCCCCCGGAAGGGGTTGCCGAACAGCGCATTCACTTCCGGTCTGGGGCCTGCGGCGGCGGCGGCGGCGGTGGCGGCGGCGGCGGCGGCAGCGGGTCGGTGTAGAAAATGGCGCTGGTGCAGCGGCTCGGGCCTCTCCCCGCGGCGCTGCGGAGGGCTTGAGGCTCGCGAGCCTCACTCGCCGCGCCCCACTTGCTCGTGCACTTTACACACATGAGGTGAGTGGGGCGGGGGCCTCCATGCGGGCGGGAGGAGCCTGGGGCACTGCCGCAGGGCCCCGCGACCGCGGGCGGCGGCGGCGGCGGGCGTCCCCGAGACCTCGGGCCCGGGCTAGGGCGGTGCGGGGGCGCCGCTGCGCAGGCCGGGCGGGAGGCCCGGAGGGGCCGCGCTGCGCCCCTGGGGCCGGGCCGGGGTCTGCGGCTCGCCCGCGCCGCCTGCCCGCAGTCCGGGCTGCAGCCCCGCAGCTTTGTGAGCACCCCCGGGCTCCCCTCCCCCCCCATCCGCCCCGGCGCGAGCCTCTGCCGCAGCAGCTCCGTTTTCACGCGCATCTCTCCCTGTCTCTCTCCTTTTCTTTCCTCTTGCAGAGAATTGGAAGCTAAAGCTACCAAAGACGTAGAAAGGAATCTTAGCAGGTAAGATGGGCGAGCTTCTGTCTGTCGCCCCATTAATCGTGTATTTCCACTCAGGTTCGCCCTTTCTGGGTTTAGAAGTTCCCCCGTGTCATTTTCTTTTCGCTCGCAGGGAGTAGACATTCGGGAGAAGAGGCCGGAGGGAATATTGGATGGAGGGATTGCGGGGAGATGCGTAATTACGCGTGTGTGCTTTTCTTTGGGGGAAGAAAAAACAGCGAAAAGCAATTCTTGTAAACTTAGTTAAAGCATTCTCACCCTTTTAGAATTTAATTAGGGGACTTGTGCATTAATTACTATTGTAAATGGTTGCAGGCATTGTGTGACTCATGATTGAGGCGGCCCTTATGGCGGGCTGTCAAACTGTTTTGGCTTCCCCGTTATTACTTCGTAACTCAAATTGTTGCCTTTATAAGAAGATACTATGTTCGCATTTTCCCTCCCCAACACATTGTAGTCAGGCAGATTCTGTTGCACTGGAAACAGTTTTGCCCTTGAACTTTACGGAGCATAAACTGCGTTTTGTTTTCTTTTGAAACTACATTTGTGTCTGTGTTCGGTGTGTGCTCTTTTTTATCAACTGGTAAAATAATTAAAAAATCTGTTCCCAATAAGTGGTTATCGTTTCTACTGGGCCTGAGTGTTTTTGCACTGGTAACTTAAATCATCACCACAAAGGGAGTTTTTTTGGTTTTTAAACGTTGCCTTTATGGAAACGTTTAGCTTTAGTGAGCTGTAATTGCTTAAAGCTCTGATCAGAGTATTGCACCGTATTTAACTCTTTTTCAAATTCATTTTCTTACGGTCTTTTCTTTATTGGCCGTTTTCTTTTGAATCATATCGGGAGACTCAGAGAAACTTCTAGATGAACCTTACCAGTGAGCTGCTTTCTTTTTCACTTGGACAGGATAAAGTAAAATCTCTCCTATCTCAGGTCTTAATGTAGTTTGTCCTTGATGAGTGTAAGTTTTAGGTTTATGGTGAGGTTAATGACACTCAGTTCAAATCATATAAATATTTTTCACCATATAAAATCATCCCAAATTGCTGGTCTTTTGAGTTTTATAGATATTAATCTGTTAAGGTGATAGTTAAAAATCTTTTCAGTGGGTGAAGGATGGACATCATTGGCTTACCGAATAAGAGATTTTCTTATAATTATCATTTCTTGTAATGGGACTGGTTCAAGGAAATCAAGCCTGACATCACTGATTAAACAACTGTTCTTTGGACATTTAATAAGTTTTGTTGTCAAAAGCTTTAAAAATGTTAAGATATGAGACCATTAAAGAAAACAGGTTGAATTTTCAGTAGCAGAGAGGAGCTTGGAGTCTGTTTCTCCTCACATTTTTGCTTTGTCAGGTAACTATATCAGTATAATTTCTATGGAGGTTTTCTGGGGCTTAATTAAAAATTGCCTCTACCACAGGTATAATTTTCATAATCTATTATAGTTGGAGAGAACTTAAGAGTCTCTATATGGGTTATGTATCAGAGTTTGAATTCCAGCCCTGCCACTTACAATATGACCTTGACTCTTGGCAAATCACTTAGCCTCTTTGTGTGTAATCTATAAAACGAGAGGTTTGGGCCAGTCAGTTCCTAAGGTGAGTGAGCCCCCTTGGGTTGTATAAGAAGGAGTTAAATGTCATCTCTGGCCACAGAATATGTACAATCTGGTAGGAAGACTGTCATATGTCCATAAATAACTAACACAAGGTAGATGGTGTGGCGGTTAAGTTACCATCTCATCCCATATTTGAGGATGGCTCTACAGTAGATCATCAGGCATGAAAAGGAAGAACAATTACTAGGAGGTTACAAGGCAGCACATCAAGACTGTGAGAGGGTAGCATTGCCTAAAGGTTAAAAGGTTCCAAGGAGGGAGAGGTGTGATTAGGTGGGCACATGTTTTCCTTCTACTCCGTCTCTAGCTCTCTGCTTCCTTTTTTCCAAATAAGGAGAGTGTGTATGTCTTGAAGCATTTATGCTTTCCCAGGAAATCAAGGCATTATTCTGTATTCCTTTAGCAAACATTTCTTGAGCATCTTCTATGTTCCAAATGCAAGGCTAGGCACTTGGGAAGAGCAGAAATAGCTAAATGTACTGAATGCTTACTATCTGCCTGGCGCATTCTTCTGAAGACTTTGCATGGACTCATCCGATCCCTGGATCACTGTGTGAGGTAGGTACTATTATTCCTGTTTTACAGATGATGACTTTGAGGCACAAAGAGGTTAAGTAACTTTCAGGAAGTCACATCACTGCTATTGGAGGAGCTGTCAGGCTTCAGATCATATTGTATCGTCTCTTACTAGAGGCATGGTTCTTCATCTTGAAAAATTTGAAAATATCTTTGAGGAGGCAGAACCCACAGGTACATTTGATACTGCTAGATCAGAGTTTCTTAACCTGGGCTCTGTTGACATTTTGGACCAGAGAATTTATTATTGTGAGGTCTGCCCTGTGCCTTGTGGGATGGTCAGCAGCATCTGCCTGTAGCACTCCCCGCCCAGTCGTGACATTCAGAAATGTCTTTAGAGGGCACCTGGGTGGCTCAGTTGGTTAAGCGACTGCCTTTGGCTCAGGTCATGATCCTGGAGTCCCGGGATCGAGTCCCGCATCAGGCTCCCTACTCGGCGGGGAGTCTGCTTCTCCCTCTGACCCTCCCCCGTCTCATGTGCTCTCTCTCTCTCATTATCTCTCTCTCTAATAAATAAAATCTTAAAAAAAAAAATGTCTTTAGATATTGCTAAATGTTCTCTGGGGGGCAAAATCACCCCCAGTTGAGAACCGTCATTCTAGATCTTCATATTTCCCGAAGGTAACCAAACGTATGAACTTTGAATGTTAAATATTTAAATGTTAAATTAATTTTTACATCTTTAATACCATGGAAGTCCAAATCCTATTGTGTGGGCCCCTAGTTTGAACCCTCTAGTTTTGAATGTCAGTGTTGTGTTGCCATTCTCCTTTCCCTCTGCTAAGTGGCAAATCTTTTTTTTTTTTTTTTAAGATTTTATTTATTTATTTGAGAGAGAGAAAGTAAGTGAGAGAGAGCACGAATGGGCATGAAGCAGAGGGAGGAGAAGAGGAAGAAGAAGACTCCCCACTGAGCAGGGAGCCTGATGCGGGACTCAGTCCCAGGATCCTGAGATCATGACCTGAGCCAAAGGCAGATGCTTGACCAACTCAGCCACCCAGGTGCCCCAGTGGCAAATCTTCAAGACAGTGTGCCAGGTAGCCAGTGCCAGTTAAACAAAATCGGCACAAGAGAAATTTAGTTTACTACCTGGGGTAAGCTATATTTCTTAATTCACTGTTGGCCATTAAAATTGTCACTTTATGTCAGTATCATGGGCATTCAAAAGAGGGAACTGTAATGTCTAGATGGGGGTGGTCACCACTGGAACTGAACTTTATTTTTTTTTTAATTTTTTAAAAAAATATTTATTTGAGACAGAGAGAGTGCACAAGCATTAGGGGCGCAGAGGGAGAGGGAGAAGCAGGCTCCCCACTGAGCAGGGAGCCTGATGCGGGGCTCTATCCCAGGACCTTGAGATCATGACCTGAGCCGAAGGCAGACGCTTAACCGACTGAGCCACCCAGGCGCCTCTAGAACTAATGGCACAAAATCCAGGAAGTACAGGGAGTTTTTTTTTTTTTTTCTTTTAAGATTTTATTTATTTATTTGACAGAGACACAGCGAGAGAGGGAACACAAGCAGGGGGAATGGGAGAGGGAGAAGCAGGCCTCCCGCGGAGCAGGGAGCCCGATGTGGGACTCGATCCCAGGACTCTGGGATCATGACCTGAGCTGAAGGCAGACGCTTAACAACTGAGCCACCCAGGCGCCCCTTGTTTTTTTTTTTAAGATTTTATTTATTTATTTGACAGAGAGAGAATGAGAGAGAAAGTACATGAGAGGGGGGAGGGTCAGAGGGAGAAGCAGACTCCCTGCTGAGCATGGAGCCTGATGCGGGACTCGATCCAGGGATTCCAGGATCATGACCTGAGCCAAAGGCAGTCGTTTAACCAACTGAGCCACCCAGGCGCCCGTACAGGGAGTTTTGAAATAGCAGTGGGTGGTTTGGTTGGATTGACGTGGAAGAACAGCGGCAGACGCAGAGGTTCTTGAATATTAAGTTGGGGACTTCTGGCATAGATCTTTCGGTAGTATGGAGCTATTACATGCTGTTGGGTAGGGTAGTGTGATATGATAGAATAAGGCAGGTGTTGATGAAGACCTGACTTACAGTGGTGGGAGAAAAGAGCTGAGAGTGGGAGATACTGAGGAAGTGGAATCTGGGATTTGGCAGCTAACTAAGCTGGGATTAGTTGTGAGAGGGGTCTAAACACCATCTTGGGTGAATGGGAGATTGACCCAGCCTCTGAACAGAAGAGAGGTTAGAACAGAAATAGGAGTTTGGTGAGAGAAGATAGTAAGTTACATTTTCTAGTTGTAAAAAAAATCTAAGACAACTGATATAATTAAAAAAAATTATTTTGGAGGCCAGAGCCATAGAATCATTCAGTGTTTAGAGCTGGACCATGACATCAGAGAGACCGGCCAGTATTCTGATCTCTTCCATTTTACAAATGAGAAAGCTATGGGTAAGACAGATCCAGTAACTTAGTCAAGGTTATATTCTCTCAAGTGACAGAGCTGGGATTCCAACAGGCCTTTTGACTCTAACTACTGAGGTCTTACAAATGCAATATTTTATATGCACAATAGAAAAACAACTTTGGTTTCTCTTTTCTGAAAATGGAAGAACACTTATCTCAATGTATTTTGTTCCATTTTAGTAATTAATTTATTACTATAATGTAGGGTATATTGTCTAACAAAAAAGTTACACACTTCATGTTAGCTGATTTTTCCCCCCAAACCAACTATTAAAACACCATCATTTAAGAAAAATTGTTAAAGATGCTGTAATGCCATATAATGTAGCATCTAAACTGGGACATTGTTATCTGAGGCACTTTTGCCTGGGACAG